GCCCAGGCGCACCGCGGCTGTCCCGCTGCGGGCGTGCTCCAAGGCTTTGCTCCCCATCTCCCTGCAGACCAGGGAGACGGGGAGCAGCTTTTCTCACCCCGGAGGACAGGGGCGGCGGACCGCGGCGCATCTGGGCGTCCTGCCGCTCCCGTCCTCCGGAGCGAGAAAAGCCCCGTTCGTAACTGCGGATCCGACATAAGTCGGATCCGCGTAACTCGGGGACTGCCTGTATAGGACCTCACTTTGGTTAACCAATAAAAGAATTTAATTGTTTTAAGTTTTATAAATATAGATATGTAATTACCAAAAATGTATAATTTTGTTTTCTATACGATTTGCTTCCACTTTCTGAGTTAAATCTGCATAAAGACAACTTCTGTACTGTATTTGACTATAACTGATATGCAGGGCTTGCTGAACGGCAGCGAAAGCCGCTCGTCAGCTCCGCACTGCGCATGCGCAAGACCCACATGCGCGTGCCGCAAATGAACAGGGCACCCGGCTGAAATCTACTCACCACGGGCAAGTAGATTCAATACTTTGTCGAGCCCTGCTGATAAGACTGTGGATAAAGAGATAAGGGCACAATAATCCGAACTACAAGTCTGCCAGCAGTCAAAACAATCACTCATGCTCCAACAATGCCATTATAGTGGAGAACACATTTTATGGAGGTTTGAAGCAAACAAATAGATCTGTTGCTCAAAGATCAACATCCCCTGGTCCAATCAGACTGGATAGCTACCAGTGCTTTCAGATTATAGTGGCTCCCCCTGCATGTTATTCAAAAGAAGCTGCAAAGTACTAATTTTTTTAAACAACCCGACAATCAGCTAACAATTGCACATCCAAATCTGATGAGTTAGGAAACAATGTTCAATGCTTCATAAGACATGAATAAACATGATTACAACAACATCATCACCATCCTATTAACGAAAAGTAGGCTGAAGCCTATTTCAACAAAACACATACCCATAGCAGACTTGTTTTGGCATTGGGGATGATGTTTATGTGCCTGGCCGGGTTTGTGCTCAAAACCAATCCACCTTGCGTACACCAGTCAAGAGTAGAGCAAAACACCCAGCTTTACAGATGCCAGCCCTGGAGAGCCACATCTACTATATATTTGAGAGAGTTTGTCTGTCTGTGAGTAAGCAAGCCTATGTCTGTCTGTTCAAGAACTCCTCCTAACTGGTAAGAGCTAGGACCACCAAGTTTAGTATATACCTTCCCCTGATCATAACTTAAAGCAAGGGAAGGGTTTGCTAGTGTATGCATAAAGATTCCCCCCTGCCAAATTTGTATGGCCAGGGCTTGACAAATAATACAATCTACTCGCCCGTGGAGAGTAGATTGGAATCCAGAAGAGCTGGGTTCGGGCGATCTGTGCATGCGCAGATCGCCGGACAGCGCGGCTGGCGAGCGGGGCTCGCCGTGGTTCAGTGAGCCGTGTATGGGGATGCATAAACCATCAGAAAAGAGACAGAATCACCTGGCAGGCAAAAAGGGAAAAGCACCTCCCCCTCCATAGGCTGCTGAGCCCTGAGCCGTCCACCCTCCAGGTGCCCTTTAGACAGCTGAAACTTCTCTCCTTCCCAGTTCATATGGGAACATTGCTGGCTGTTCTCCTTCATCAGGGAGTGAGGGAAGTGTCCAGATTGCTGCATTCCTCTTCTGGCTGGGGAGCACAGGGGGTAGATGAGAAAGGACCTGCTGGAGCTAGGAGACATGCACCCCTCCCTTGGTTGTGCCAGGTGGAGCTGCAATGGCCACAGGAACGGAGAGGCACTTCTCAACTGGCCCCAGGTTGCTGCAGTGAGAGCGCTGGGGTAATCCTCTCTTTCTAGGGCAGCCTGCCTACCGAACCCCTCATCCCAGCCCCATCTCAGAGCAATGAGTTAAATGAAGCACGTACATTTTATTTTCTAAAAAACAAAATTAATTGACCTTCAGGGGGTAGCCGAGTTAGTCTGTACAGGATAAATTTAAAAAACAACCAGTGGTCTGGTAGCACTTTATAGACTAACAAAACA